CACGCTTCCTGTGCACCTCTGTGGTCAAGTTTTTCACTTCTTGAAATAACATTATTCCGACTCCACTTCTACCTTCCTTATTTGCACCAATATATATTAGCTTATGACCATCACCCAATTTCTTTGCCTTATTTCCAGACCATCTTGTCTCCTGGACACAAAACAGAATATCAACTCTTCTATTTTTCATGAGGTCAGCTACTGCTTAGTTAAGAGGAAATCTTCATACACAAACACACATGCATACAGATATATATATATATATATATATATATATATATATATATATATATATATACACACACACACACACACACACACACACACACACACACACACACACACACACACACACATATATATATATACACACACACACACACACACACACACACACACACACACATATATATATATATATATATATGTGTGTGTGTGTGTGTGTGTGTGTGTGTGTGTGTGTGTGTATGTATGTGTATGTGTATGTGTTTATATATATATATATATATATATATATATATATATATATATATATATATATATATGCATATACGTTTATATACATATATTTGTATATAGACACTGCACCCAGATGCTCTTTTCAATCGTCGTCAAGAGAAAATTTGCACCTTCATTACTAATCCTTGTCTTCAAAATAAAGTAAAAAATTCCGGATTTGAACCCAAGAGGATATTTTTCAAACTTTCTCTCTTTTTCTCTCACGCTCACACACCGCCCCCCTGCTAACTGCCTCACAATGGCTTCAACTGCCAAACACTCACGGAAACCACTACTGTTTAAAACTTGGATTGGCCTCTTTAAACATGTATTTTTCTATCCATTTATCCATACATACTTAATGTGTATAGATAGATATACTGTGAAATAGAAACACAGATATATAGATAGACAGAACTAACAGATAGACATATAGACAGATTGATACATAGACAAATAGACAGGTTGATAGAATTATAGACATACAGACAGACATGCAGACAGAAAGATACATACATGTGTATCAATCAGTACCATTGTGAGACAGCGAAGTGGTGTTTGCGTGTGGGTGTGCATCTATGACATTTACTAATCTCCCCACTGGCTTATTACGTGGAAGACTTATATCTAATTATTTCCAAACGCTCTCGGGAACGGTATAATCAGGTTATAAACGATTGGTCCAATTTGCTGGAATGTGTTTTGTAATAGGGGTATGAACATACTGTATAAGCACGCACACATACTCCTGCATAAATGGCTGGTCTTAAATGTTAAAAATAAGTTTTTTTTTTGAGAGAGAGAGAGAGAGAGAGAATCCTAATGGAAATGTGCCTGTCTCATAAATGTGCACACGTATACAAATTCATACTTACATATTCAATCGTGTAAAACAACGCTCACAGACTTGATACTGAACAATAAGAATAAGAATAAGAATAAGAATTGTAATTTAGGAATATGTAAGCACTTACCTGACATTCGATTCTGTTTTAAATAGTTTGAATTTCCCAGGTCTGCAGCGTGTAAGGAAAATAGTTTTAGGTTAGAGAATTGGATCTCACAATGTAATTTGTTACAGACTTTTGTTCGGACTTAAACCTTAAGCCCTTTACAGTGTATTATACTTGGTTCATAGAGCATGTGTGATGATCAGTAATTAAGACCGTTTGCCAGCTGGTATTAAGATATTATCAAGTATCACATGTAGAGCAGTCAAATAAATGACCGACAAAGATTTCTTTATTTAAATTATGTCAATGTCCGATCCAAAGTTATTAGTGTCTAAATGTAAAACTATTTAATGTATACTGAATCACAAGTGCTCGTGAATATCATAAAGAAGATATATACAGTGCCATTTAAGATTCTATAACCAGATGTGTTCGTGTACATATGTTCGTGTTCCTTACGCTAGGAAATCACACCCAAAACTGCACCGTTGAACGAACACAAGAAAAGGATAGAGATGAAAAGAGTATCAATTACCCTGTGGTTAACATCTTTATTGTGAACAAGACATAATCATCAGGAAGAAGGTAGACGCAGACGCAAAATAAATAAATTAATAAAGTAATGAAATCATCGAAACGCGACGATTAAGTATTCATCTTTTTTTAAAGACTAATCACAACATATTTCAAATAAGCTGATTACTAGCAAACTTATATCATTTTTTTGAAAATGATTTAGGACTGACAGTTCCTGCGTGCGAGTTGCCTACATTTATTATGATTCCCAGCCCATTTCTGATGAAAAAAAATAAACAAAACAAAACAAACTCGCATTTGCACAAGCAGCAACACTATCATCTCCGTGGATTCCGACCTGGGTTCTGGGCCTCGTCAGTGAGCCAGTAATCTCTCTTTCTTATTTACAAACTTTAAGGTCCGGGATAGTGTTGCGTATCTGCGCACACATAAATCACTCATCACTTACGTTATACTGCAACACAGGGAACACATACATGGTCCTGAATTCTAAACCACCACTCAAGTGCAGCTTTCACAATGTCTGGCGCGGGAGGCGTGCGAGCATCGTGGAAGCGCGAGCAATTTCCGCTTGCTTCTCTTTGGGTTATGGTAAAGAATTCAGGAATCGGACATTATACACAACCCTGTGAGAAAGTGCCAGAAGAAGCTACATTGAAACATAAACCGTCTCGTACGTCATAATCTAATTGCACAATTTTGTTTACTGATCCTGCCTGCTAATTTACATAATAAACACAATCAAATCAAGTTATAAATAACCTGGTATAATCTTTGATACAATATCCAATCTTGATCCATTCACAATATTCAAAAAAATCACTTCAAAATAACGAAATACAAAACTAAATAACGTAAATACTACGCTGGCCAGGAGCTGAAATGCCATAGCGACCCCGGAGGCACACTATAGCACAGTCCCCCAGACAAAGAAAATAGGTAACAGAATTTTCTCGCTGTACTTTTTAAGGAGATACTAAAATATTTTATGTGGAGGTGGTGTTACTTCTCAAGTTGCATTATTTAGGCATATTTTAGTGACGCTAATCCGTCTTAGGTACAAAACCCAAACTTCCTCTCAAAAGAAATTCGAAAACAGAAGAAAAAATAATATGATAGAGAATATAATTGCTCTTCTCTGTACCGTTATATTGCTAAATTAATGAGAATATCACGACCCTTTGAGAATTCGATGGTGCAAGAGCAAAGGGCGTTCCAGATCTTTACAAGAAGAAAAGAGACTCGCCATTTTACAAAAGATATAACACAGCGGAGGAGTGCTCGTCATGGCGACAGCATTTGATTTTGTTTGCCAAAGAAAACATCTACTCCAGAGGCTCGTCGGACCTGGTAGCAAAGGTGGTTGCATCGTCAGCAGTAGCGCCAGCAGCAGCGTCAGCAGTCTCCTCAGTTCCCCCTTGGCCGGCGTCGGGTTCGGTGGTGGTGACGGGGGTCGTGTCTTCTGCTTCCTTTCCTAGAAAGCACCGAAAACGGTCGTGAGTTTGTCATGGCAGCTTTTGGGAGGCGGGGACCTTGCAGCACACGCACATATATTATGCAATATATGTATGTATGCAGTGCATTATGAATGTGGGTGTATATATATATATATATATATATATATATATATATATATATATATATATATATATATATATATATATATATATATATATATATGTATATATGCATATATATACACAAATCCACAAGAACCTAATTGCTAGGATGAGATGCAACACCAGATATGATATCTTTTTTATTTTCTGGTTCTCGTTGATAATCAGTCTTACATTCTTAACTAAGAACATCATAGAATTTCCTCTTTAGTTATGCAGACTGACTATCGCTGGTATCATGCGCAGGGGAATCGTTCGATGCCTTCTGAACTATTTACATGAACCACTACGACACATTCTACCGCATTTATGACAATGTGTGTGGTTTTATTATGAGTAATGAAAGTTTATTCCGAATACTCCCCAATAATACCTGGAGCTCTGTCTTGTCCGAAAGGCGCTGAAGCTACATGTAAAAAGGACATAATTACTCGATTAATATTTGGTGCAAAAACATTATATTTGTGGATAGCATACTAATTCACCCCCCCCCCTTTTATATAAATTTCATACTTGTAAATGTGAAAACGACAACTTTGACAAATATACGGAACAATAACATATATATGTCATTTCGATAAAGATATAGATTTACATCATATCTATTTCTATAAGGTATTTGCTCCGGCCGAGTGAAGGTATGTAACCACTGGAAACAAACCCTGGGCAGTGAAAAACTAACTATTTAGTTACTTTATCTACTTTAAAGATCCAAAGAATAGACAGTGACGTCAGTGGAGAGTGAAGTGAAACGAAAATTTCCATAATCTATCGGGAAGTTCACCTCAGACTGTGGCAAATGAATAAATAAGTACATAAATAAATGAGTGAATGAATGGATGAATAATTAAATAATACTAAATCGGAGAAGAAAAGTGATGGCTGCCTCTTCTCGTAGTCATTTTTGAAGGCATCGCGTCCCTCACTGTGCACGATAGTTTCCTCATAAGCGATAACATTATTGAATAGGCGACTGCCATTTACATACCATCATGAATACATTATTCCTGCTGCAGGAAAATCTCATATAATGTTGCATCTCATGATCGGCAGCCCATTGTGACTTGCCTGTTGAAGGGGGGGGAGGTCTTTGTAAAAGAAATATCTAAAGCTTTCATGATTTTTTTTTTCCTTTTTTTTAACCGTTGAAGGGGATATTTTGAAGAATTTGAATCTTTTTTGTTTAGACTCTAATTAAAAGTTCACCTACCTTCACATTCTTGAACATAGAACACGGAAAGGTTTTTTTTTTTACACAACGACACTATTGTATAATCTAGTGTTTTACAAGTATTTTATTGTCTATATAGCCTGTCGTATTGAGTTCTTTCTATTCCTAATCATAGCATTCTTCAAACTTCTAATACCTAGAACAAGTAGTACAGCTAATGGATTTACATTTTTTTTTTTTTTTTTTTTTAATGAACTATGTACAAATAAAATGACAGTCTGGAATTCTTTAGAAATAGAAACTAATGAAGGGAAATAATAGTACTTTTTTTACATACAAGAAAAAGACTATGTTATTCTTATATCTAATTTTACTCAGATATTTTGGAGACAGATATACATAACTCATTTCACTAAATAAGTATAATTCTAATTAATTAGGGTTTTATATTATTATCATTATTATTATCATTAATGCCAATGAAAGATGGCTAACAAATGAAATTAGTTTATGGTGTATTTAAGGTTAGATGATAATAGTAAGGTTAAAATGTGTTATGTTATAGACTAATTTCAATTTTTTTTAAATATTTTTTTTTGATGGATCAATTTTTCGAGCAAATTATGTAATAAATCCATTATAGACCTTTCAGCTATCATAACCCCTGATAGATAAATAAATGGATACTCAGCTTGTATTCGTAGAACCATACTTACTTAGTGAAATGTACCATTATTCAAGCATATCTGACATAGTTCTATTCCAAACAAAGCACCGTAATTATTCGTAAAGTGGCGTGACTTGTGGAAACTTTTAGGGGGAAATAAGAGAAAAAAAGTGAATAACACGAGATTCAGAGAGTCTGTAAGTCAGTTTTATGGGTTAACAAATTATTTTCGAGACTGTTATCTGTAATCCTTATAGTGTGAAAGTACGGTTAGGATGAGTGTCAAAGCCAAAGCAATTAGAATCGTTCCTTATGTATGCCTCAACGTGTGAAAGAAAATCGTCGTTATCAATTATAGAAAACCCTCAGACACTATTATTAAATTGCCTATCAAAATGATTTCCTTAAAAGAAATTCTGATTAATTTTCTTTCTTTTTTTTGTGGGAAAAAATACGTACCCATGAAAGATCCGGTGATTGGTTGTCAAGCTACTGCATCTACTCGGCTAAAACAAAGCAACAGAATAAAGCTAAAGCATGCAGTCTAAGTAGGCCTTTAATGTCTAGTTTTGTTATGTAAAAATTTATGCCTTTTTTTTCCTCAACTGTAAGTGCAAATGCGTTACACTGAAACATCCATTGATTAAAGTACAACCTCAACACTGCAAAAAAGGCACAGTAGTGAAACAGGACTTTTTTTTTCTGATGTTATGTCTGTGGAAGAAATACAAGGATTTTTTTCCCGTGCTCCAAAGAAACAGAATTGAAATCCCTTTAATTTAGCTAAAAACAATGATCAGGTATGTCTCTCTAGTTCTCTTATTCCATAACGCTCCGTGATCGAACATGATGTGTAGTAGAATGAAGATGTGAATTATGAGTCCTACTTAAAAAAAAAAACAGGAACTGGAGTCACATATCCATTTTGTCAAGAGTTTCGGAAGTTGACAGTGTGCAGATAAGTAAGCAGCGTATCCTAAGGCTGCCGTTACACTACTATGGTTGTGTAAAAGAATGGCAAAAGAGGTTTCGAGTTATTGGGTTCAAAGGGACAGAAAGAAAAAGACAGAGGAAAAGATTTCTCTGATCAAAATAAAAGAGAATCCATACTATCCGTCGACTTTTTCCTTTTCTTCTTTTCCTTCTCGAGTAGGTCCAGGACATGACAGAGAAAAACGCGTCTTGTCACAGCTCTTACAACCAAGACCACCCACCGGAGACTAAAACATACCTGATTTCTTCTGTGTTACATGTGAGCGAAAAAATGCCCCAACTGCAAGAATCTTGTTGGTAGCAGATTGCAATTTCCTTGTGGCTTTGCTAGGCTCGCCAGCTACAGGGAGTGAACGAGAACGAGGCTCCCCTTAGAAACTGTTCTCAGACAAGGACCCGAAATCTATACACATATATGTCAATATCATATTCACATCTGGCTCTGGGTGAAAAGCCTGTACCGCGTTCGAGATTGCAAGAAAAAAGAGACGGTGTTCAAATGAGCCTCCTAATTGACATCAGAGGGTTTCATTAACTCTTAAGTGAAGGTCTAGCTGCTGACTGACAAGGAGCTGTGGCAAAGGGTTGGCTTCTTATCTGCGGTGTCATGCTTTTCCCTTGAACTCTCGAAACCAGCGGCAGAGTACGCCGATGCTCGTAAGCCTCGAAACCGTTCTTTTTTATGTAACCCTCATGTGTTTACTTGTTTCAGAAACCAAAGTGACAGTGATACAAGAGTCTAGCACTTCCTTCCTTCAAGCAAGATGCAGCGTTTTCAGGACTATTATAATCCTGCTTTTTTATATTGGGCAGTGAAGCAACGCTGCAGTGACGTAAAATTGGAGTTGGATCAATGTCGTGGACAACCAGATCTTTTTTCATCCTTTAAATCCTCTTTGGTCCTCCAAGGATATTACCATGGTGGCTTAGGGCTGTCCATGGGATCCTTGTCTGTTACCCTGGCCGGTATGCTATGTATCTATTTGTTTCCTCTTTTTTTCTTTACGTTATGGCCATGCTGACGTTAATATCTTTTTACCTCGCGTGTTTTACTTCCACTCC